ACCCCCGCTGAGTTTACCTAATCTTCCCCCTCCATGAGAAAAGGCAGTTCTCACTCATTAAGGGGAGGCCTCCCCAGGCCTCCCCAGGCTGGGATGGGAGAAAAGAAGAAGCCGCTGGGAGGTAAGAGGATGAGGGAGCTTGTTTCCCCAGACCAGCCCTCCCCTCCCTGCCCAGCTACAGTCAACTGGGGTAAAGAGAGACCTGGGCTCCCTAGAGTTTTGCCAAGTCTCTCTGACCCTTCCTTCCTCCTCAGTTGGGAAGAAAGACAGTGGCAGACACATGGGCATTTGGTGTTTGTAAGAGTGTGTAGACTCTAGGAGCAAGCACAAAGTGCTTCTGGGGCCCTGTGGTCCAAGGAGGGTCCAGTTCGGTTCTTGGTCACTGGCCTAGAGTCCAGGCAGGATGGGCAGCTGGAGAAGGAGGCAGGGAAGGAGAACTTTGGGACGTCTGAGCCCGTAGGCTGTGACCTAAAAGGGCAGAAACATCTTAAAGGTGTCCAATTGAACCCCAGGGGTCCCAAAGCATCCTCTCCCTCCTCATCACCAGGCCTAAGTGAGCAGCTGTCTCAGCTTCTGTGGTCTGGGGTCTTAGTCTGTCTGATGCCAGTGTGGTTTCATGCTCCCCCCACCCCCTTCTAGCTGTTGGGGTTTTTCCTGGCATCCCTAGCCCTTGCCTGAGGTAACACTAGGCCACCGGAGGCCTAGAAGGTTTGTACTGTGAGTGGAGTGTAAGTGTGTTGCAGAATAGAAGCAAGGTCTTTACTAGGCTAGCCAGGAAACACACTCCAGCCCTGAGGAGTGAGTGGCTTCTGAGGGATGGAGCCATCAGGGCCCAAATGGGCATGGTGTCCTAGGGCTAATCTCAGGCTGGAGCTCCCTTCAGGTTTCTAGGAAGGAGCAGCAGAGGTGTCAGGCATAGGAGACACGTGTCCTCCACACCTGGAGTGCGTACCCCTCCCCAGGCGTCACCCAGAACTAAGCCAGGAAAGCGTCAATATATGAACTCAGGCTCTTTGAAGGGGATGGCCCGAATCGCGAGGGATTCCGAAGCAGGGTGGAAGGCCCGTGGAGGGCAACTCTGGAAAGAGGAGGGGAGCGGAAGAGGCGAGCCGGGTCGGCACCTTGACCAGGCCTGCCTTGGGCCGTGAGGGGTTCTGGGCACCCTCTTTGTGGAGAGGTGCGTTTGGGGAATGGAGAAAGAACGCTGTTAGCGTGTCTGCGCCGCCCCAGGGCCTGAGGAAGAAGCAGGGATCAAGCAAAGACAGAGAGCCCACGCAGACCTTGGGAGGGTGAAGGCAGACAGAGACTCAAAGACACCCGGCGTCTGAGCCAGAGCCCCAGCACTCGCTCTCCAGCGGTCTGTCGCCTGCGTGAGGAGCGCGGGCGCCGGACTGGAGAATTCCCCCGACGCCTTCCCTCTCGGCCTTAGTCCCTCGCCAAGGCTCTGCCTCCCCACTCTTCTCCCCACTCCTTTATTTACCGGGGAAAGGGTTAGGTTAGGATCCCAAAGGATTCTCCCCAGCAGCCCATTTGAAAAGTTAACTCTCAGGTTCTCCCTTCGTCATTACCGGCCCTCCTCAACTATCCCCTCCGCACTAGTCTATAATTTTGAGGGTTTCTGAAAACTTTCCATCCAAGCAGCAGGGAGATAGGAGTTTCCCTTAATCCATAACTTGACTCTTCCCCTCTCTACAGCCTCCCCAAAGCCTTAGGGAGCGAGTCTAATGGTCTTTAACCAAGAATTTATCCAGGGCGCTAGACCCACACCCAAGCAAAACTCGCCGCCTTCCCTGACTCCTGGCCAAATCTCAGTCCCATTCCCTTCCGCTCCGTGTAAAGAGTTGTATGCGTGTGTTTCTGTTTTACAGATTTACACAGCGTCTCTTGGGGGAGAGTCTATGACTTTCTCGTCTCTTTTTCTG